CGTTATCATTCGCGTTCGATAGAACCCCATTATTTAACGCTTGTCAATCAAGCAGTTGGCAAAGAAATTTGTGGGTATCTACTGAATTTCAGCGAGTAGTTAAAAGTACAGGAGAATCTTTAAGTTCATTTCTAAGACCACCCCGATGGATTGTTGTTTATCGTAATGAAGACATTATATTCGTTAGCGCTTTTGAAGCTAACTGGTTAATGGGTCAATTGCAGTCCAATAAATCCTCAGTCACAACATTACGCTTGTTGTTACCTCGTACTAAGCGAGTTCAATCAATTTTTGTCAACACTCCAACTCTCATGATTCCACCATCAATTGAACTCCCAAATACAAATATGATTTACTTCATACCAATCGAATTGTTAGTTCAGTTATTTGTTTTTAATGGAACCCTCTATTTTGAAACACTCGACGAACAAATAGCTTATTGTCAATGTCTAGGTCTATGTCCCAAACCTTGGACAACGAAAGAAGAAGAAGCTTTTGAGAACGGTTGGATTTCTATTGATGGATTTGTACAAAAACCAAAACATCGTCTGCAGTTACAACTTAATCAAGCTCGATTCCCTTCCAATCCACTAACATTCATTAAGCAACTAATTGAAACTCGAAATAATTCACATCCACCGATCACATCACATGTTGGAAGTATTATTTTCAATTCTCATAAACTTCTTTAAGGGCCCCCCCGGGGTCAAAAAAAAATTTTTTCTTCAAAAATATCGATTTTCAGATTCATTCATATTTAGGTAGCCCATCATCTACACTTTCGAATAGACTATCACTTATTGCTTTTACGATGGTGTTTGAGGGTTTTTCAGTGGGTTTTCTAAAAAACCTGGTCGAAATTTTTTTTTTCGAAAACCTCAGTTATTGAAGCTATTTGAATTTTTCTCTATACCAAGTTTTTTAGAAAAAAAATTTCGATAATCAACGTAAAAACTTGTTTTGCGTTTTTTTCGAAAGTGTTTTTTATGTTTTATCTGTTAGTACTCCAAATTTTTCTCCACCATTTTGAATGCTAGAAAGCTCGGGAAGGTTTTAAAATGAAGCTAAAGCTCAGTGTGACAGCGTAGCAAAGCCAGAATTTATGTTTTCAACTTAGTTCTATATAAAAAAATCAAGTTTTCTAAATAGTTAACCTCAAGTTTTTCCAAAAACCTTTTCAAAGAAAAAATGTTTTTTTTTTCAAAAAACCGGCTTTGCTAGGCTCTAGAGGTAAGTGCTCTGTACAATTTGACGCTATCCCGAAATCGGTACGATGAAAATTGCGGACAAAATTTTTGAAGTACGGAGACCTACTTTTGACCCCTAATGTTACGATAACTCCCGGAAAACTCAATATTCTGAGCTCAATTTTTTACTGAAGACTATCAAAGGTCAGATACATATTCAGTAAAATTTCACTAAGATTGAGTGCTCTGGAAAAAAATAGATTTTTGACCCGGGTGGGGGGGGGGGGGGCCTTAATCCTTTGACTACCACAGTATAGAAAAGGCTACAACTTTTTTTTTAATATTTCTTACGTATATTGGTGTGACCGAGTGGATGCGGGTGCGGATTAAAAATAAAGACAATCACACCCACACCTCCAGGATCGAAGTATTCAAAAAATGAAACTTTTCTCAAAGATATTTGTTGCATTGAGAAATAAAGAACGTGATTAAAACTGAATCCTGACAAAGCAGATTATTTAATAGAATCAAATAAAAAAAGACATCAAACTAATCATGACTTATTCATTGATGTCTATCATTTATTGACGATGATAGTTGATATCTTATTTTTAGTTAGAACACGTCCGATAATTAACATTGATTTTCATTAATTCTCTTCATCACGTTCTTCTTCATTAAAATCAAAGATTTTTCTATAAAATTTAAAAAAAGGATCATGTCGAATTTCAATTCCATTTTGTTTATTTCAAATTTCAAAAAGACTGAGATCAAGTGATTAATTTTGTTCATTGATTCAATCTAAAATCAATTTTTTATTTTACCTATGACGAACGACATCTTCTCTAGAACACTATTTTTTTCTTTGTGTGCTATGCTGGAAGAAATGAATGAGAGAGGGCAGATGTGTGAGGGTGGGTGTCGGTGTCGGTAAGAGAAGAAAAAAACACCCACAGGCGCACCCGTGACGAGTAATTCTATTTTTTTTATATATCTGATAAATTTTATTCGAAAACAGATCGAAATACTGAAAGAATGAAACTTCACAAAAGTACTTATTGCGCATAGAGAAACAAAGAACGTGATTAAAAGTGAATCCTGACAAAGCAAATTATTTAACCGACTCAAACAACAAAAAGACATCAAACTGATCATGATTTATTTAATGACGTCAGTCATTTATTGATGATGATAGTTGATATCTTATTTAAATTAAAACACGTCCGATGATTAATGCAGATTTTGCTCAGTTCTCTCTTTTCTCTTTATCACGTTCTTCTTCACTAAGATCAAAGATTTTCTATAAATCAAAAAAAGATCATGTCGAATTTAAATTCCATTTTGTTTTCTTCAAATTTCGAAAAGAATGAAATTTAATGAAAAATGTCAAATTAAACCATCAACTTTTTATCTTCCCTACGATGAAACCTTCTCTAGAACATTATTTTTCCTCTACGTGTTATGTTGGAAGAAATGAATGAGAGAAAGAGAGAGAGAGAGAAACAAAGATATATAACTAGTGAGAAAATCTTCAACGAGTGTCATTTTGTTTTCATCAAAGACAAAGAAGAAGAAGAAGATTATTTTATTATTTAACTAATTTATCAAAAAACAATCTTGTTGAATAATGCTGAACATCTACGTATTGTTTATCATTATTCTTCTGTTCATTCTCAACAATGAAACATCAGGTAAATACTTTTATTTATCACATACTCAAGATCAGCTATTGCACAAAAATGACATTATTCGTTAAGATCTTGAGATGAGAATGAGACTCAAGAGAAAAAAAAGAAATCTATTTCATCATATCGTATTATACCATATGGGAAAAAATGATTAATTGACTTTTACAGATGAAATCGAAATCAGAAAAAGAAAAGATCAGCAGATTAATATCAATGAAAAACAATTCTTTTTTCCTCCCTTGAATTCATTTTCGTTGAACAAATAAAAAACGTTAATCGATAGTTTTCTTGCCTTCAGTGATAATCATATCTTTTCAAGGATCGAACATAATTATTTTTCTTTTCCAA